TAAAGATTGAAACAAACTACAAGGGTTACAGGTAAACCTCACGATGGTTTATAAGCACATAAGGAACAATCTTTGGAAGAGCATCCGAAACTATTTTGATAGTCTCCAAAGCCTGCATGGTTGGATAAAAATAGTTTGCTTAATGAAATTTGCAAAGAAATAAATGTGAAAACTTCATACAGACCGAATATATATCAAGTCACTAACCATCTTATCTGATGATTTTTGTTTATAAGGACTCTCTACTTTCTCGGTATGAACTTTATCGTCAGTTAGATAAACAGATATGCTATCTGAATCCCCCTGGCTATTACCAGATCCATGCAGATTGCCATTGACAGATAAATCTTCAAAGCAAGTGTTTGTGCCAGATTTATCTTCTCCTGAAGTGCCATAGCCACTGTTCTCAGCAGTTGAGCAGGAAACTTCTGCTTCTGGACCTGGGGAACCTTCAAGGCTACTTTCCATATTTTCATGATCTTTCTTTTTACCCTCAGCTAGACTCACCTCCGATGCTAGCTTACTTGTTATGGATTCGGATCCTTTTAGATTGTCATGTTCACTGCTCAGCACTACTATTTCTTCCATAGAATTGGCAGGAATTAAACCATCAGTATCTCCAGAAGATAATCGTTTACTTGACCTAGTCCCTTCAATATGCATCTTAAGGGACGTAATTTCAGCTCTACAATCATTCAACTCCTTCCTCTGGACATCCAATGATTGCTTCAAGTCTTGAACCTTTCTTAAAATGTCAGTGTAGCAATGTTCAGAAGAATTGAAGTATAAGATAACTGGGTTATTTCTGAGAGATCATTACCGTTTTCTCCTTCTCTTTTATGTCCTTGTGTGCAGCTTCCAAAGACTTTCTTAAAGCAGCAATCTGACTATTAGCCACTTCCCTGCTCTTTATCAAAGCATCTTTTTCAGCACCAAGACTTTCATTGTCCTTCAGTAGCGTCTCATTTTCGCGGAGAATAGAAATCTTTTCCTGTGATATGTAATAAAAGTGATGACTTAAGAATATATGGAAGTTATGGGCTTGCAAGGAAAAACAGAGTCTTTAATGCTCAGTCATGTACTTCTGTGGTGCCTGTTTTCCCAATTACGAAGAATGACCAAGTGATCCTAATCACGTTGGACCATGATACAAGTCTTGGATAAGAATCTAAAATGCACTAGAAACCCCCAGGTTTATGATTGTTACTGCAATAACATCTAGGGCTAGTCAAATATTGTGATACCTCAAAATGGTCACAGAAAAATGTTAAACATATCAAATGCATCGAATGCTAAATCCTGCTACTTATTGATTCTCGAAAATCAATTTTAAAATACTCTTGCACTGCACTTTATGAAATGAACATTGACTCATGGCTTATGCAGCGGTTTTATTTCATTTTGTGTCACTATAACTGGATTGCACATTGTTCATGAATAAGATAAATGTGTCAACTATATGCATACTCCATAGAATGTAATTATTACTAAACTTGAATATGATGTAGGCCCTTCCTATTAGCACGTTACTTGGATTCTGTCAAAGGATTGCATGAAGCATATGATCTAGTTACCACAAATTTCCAGCCCTTTTCATTGAAGTATGTTGGTAAGGAAAAGATTCATTCCAATATGATTTGGAGTAAATATAATGTGTATTCTTAGCACACATTGATGGAATTAAAAACAAACATGTACCAGGATCTAATATTGTCGCATGTAACACTGTAATGCATCAAGCTGTAGTCAGTAAACAATTAGCAGCTTTTGTAGGAACATTAAGCAACTCCATGGAATCACCTCTGCAGCCTCTGTGGTAGATGAAAGATACTGATAGTAGTAACGACGAAGGGCATCAGGCACACAAGCTGAACTGTTAATCCAAACATCAAGGTCCTGATCAGGAACCTGCAATCAGAATGATCTAGTAAGCTTTACGAAGGTCGTCAGGCACACAAGCTGAACTGTTCATTCTACTGTTTTGTTTGATTCATAATTGATTTGCCAGCACTTTTTACTGTTGGAACTTTGAAGCACTTATGGGACCCACCTAGTGTTCATTCCACAGAATGAAGCTTCTACTAATTATGCCTATCAAATTTTCAAGGGATAGGTATGTGTGAACAGATCTGTAGAAATTACATTTGGCGATATGCAAACTTCATTTGAAAATTTACAACCATGAAATAAGGCTGGGAAAGGATCATCCATATATGTTCTTTTAAAAGATAACTTTCTGTACATACATTCCCATGAATTTTTTGTGATGCTACTAGATACACATCCTATCAACCATGAACAGAATTTGCATGAATTTATTTTGTTGAGAAAAGGACGTGACTTTGACGTGAAGTTCCATAATTTTGACTTTTTGCATGAGAAACAGATAAACAAACCCTAATAAACTTAACAACAAGAGGAAGCCATGAAAGAATAATAAATTCTAAGAGAAAATATGATACAGACCTCCTCAATGAAAGTCATGGCTGCAAGTCGATACCCAGCCAAAAGCAAGTATTCTTTGACAGCACAGTTCAGATCTTTCCGTTCATTATCCTTAAGAGGACCTAATGTTGAAATTTTGGCATCCCTTTTGTCATGATGGCTAGATCCTTCATTTGTCAAAGCATCTGAAAGAGGCCCAGCATGCCAAATGGATAAATCATCTTACAAGCACAAGATAGGTCTAGCATGGATTTGTTTTCATGGAAACTTTTTCAGCTTCTTAAGCTCACATAATCAACAAATTAACATAAATAAATACATGCATATTGTAGGTCAAAAAATCATACAAGGATCTATGTTCCAGTGCCAGTAGATTTACATTTAGCAGTACATAGTTACTAGCATAACTCAAACTGTGCACTCTCCAGCTGGTATGTGTGCCCTGATATTGATCATTACCTCATAATTAAGGTACAGTGCAAAAAATGCTAAAAAGTACAATTTATTGTCTCAAAAACCAGTTAAAAGCTATGATGCGCGCTGTCAGTAGGACCTCCCCTCTTATATATGTATGTCTATCAGTTAGCAATGAACACGATGAATGATGACTCACTTTGAATTATCTAGTAAAAGCTAGATAATTAGATGTCACCAATAAATCTGCAGCAGAGCGCTCACCGCAAGCTAGTGGCCCTTGAAGAGGCAAGTGTTTTACTTAAAAGTAACTAGAATATCTCAAGCTTGTTTGTGGAAAACTGATCAAAGCCAATGCATCAGTTCTGTTCAACCTTATTGAATTGTTGAGTGTAAAAGTTCCTACAGATACCCCCAGCATAAGCCACATTAATGCTTATAACCTTCAAATCAGACCTGTCTTTTGTTTATTTCCTGTTACCCTTTATGTCCATGGTACTTCTTCTTATTTCCTTTAAACCATATAGCCTCCAGCTGACAAGCAAATGCCATGACAACAAGGACAATATTGTTCAATACAATCCCAATTCCCAAAGATCACTGAGATAAACACCCTCTCGCGTATCACAGCCATATTTCATCCTCACATGAGATGGAATTTTCAAAGTTCAATATGTAAGCCACAGAATAATGAGATAATTTTCACTTTTGGCACTTATCTGAGTACCAAATGCTTTAACTATTGATTCCACTTCAATCAAAGAATGTAAAAACAGAAAACAATAGTTTTTGCTCCATGCCATCACATGAAACACAATATCACGCTATATTTGTCATTTCAAGGTTACATACCGGTAGCATTTGAGCCATCAGGAGAAGATTCTTTCTGCTTTTGTAACTCAAGCTTCAACCTGGAAAGATCTTCTCTGGCTAGCCGGAGATCATAATCAGTGAGGGCCAACTTTTCTTCTGCCGCTATTTTCTCTTCCAGCAAGCTCTGTGGATCAGCACCTGTCAATAAAAACATAGAGATAATCACCTCACAGACTCAATGACAGATGTTAGAACATTAGATTGAACACAAACACCGCATCTAGTGTACATGGATAAGCTTGCACAAAAAAGTGAGTAGATTGTTGAGTTATACCAAGAACAGACCCAAACATTTACCTGTAATTTATTTGTTCTGATAGCATTGCTTGGCCCATAATCCATATGCTACTCAATTTTAATGATATTATTAAGTAGTTGCAAACGGTGACATAAACAATGAAACTGCCACGCCTTGTGTGGTCTAAGTAAATTTAATTGTACTGTTCAAATTAATAATGCCCCTTCAACTGCGAAGTAACTAACCAACCAAATCGTCTGTAGAATGTAAGTCGAGCACCAAGGCACATACACCTAACATACCAACAACAAGATGAATTCAACAGCGCCAATTCGGACGTAATGCAGGGATATTATGAACATAATGGCAACACAGGAAGCAGGGAGCGCCACTACGCCGCGAGATCCAGCCAGCTGAGGAAAAGGGTTGGGGGGGAAGGGGGGGTGCAAATGCGGGGGACGCAGGGGCTCACCGGGCGGCGCGGAGGACGCGCGGGCGACGAGGTCGGGCGGGAACAGCGCGGGGTCGGAGAAGAAGGAGCGGAGGCGGAGCGCGTGCGCGTGGCGGCCGTCCTCCTGCAGCTCCTGCAACAGCTCGAGCGCCGTGAGGTGGTACCTCTCCTCCAGCAGGAAGTTCACCACGCAGTTGCACAGCGACGCCCACCGCTCCTCCCCCGCCCCCGCCCCCGTCGCCTCCATCACCTCGGGATCTGGTGGTGGTGGCGGTCGCCGGCGCCCCACCCGGTCAATCAGCCGCCGGCGACGAGGCGCGCTCCCGCCGCATGCGGTGGTCGGTGGATCTCGAGAGAGGCCGGTGGGTCGGGTCGGAAACTCGGACGAGACGAGAGAGGCGAAGGCGTGTGATTTTTGGAAGGGAAGAGAGGAGGAAGAAAGAGGAGGAGATCGACGGAGAGGATCGAGGCGCGCGCTGACGTCAGCTCGGCTACAGACCGCTGGTGTGTCTGATGTGGACACGTTGCAAATTTCAAATGGGCCGAAATGACGAAGGCCCATCAGGTGCCGGCCCATATAAAGCCCGGCCCTTCCTTCCACCTGCTAGTAATCTCACGAACCCTTGCGCCGTCGGTCTCTCTCTCTCGCTCTCGTCCCCGCCGCGGCGCCGCCCTGCTCTCCCCCTAGGGTTTGATTTGATCCCATCCTACTCTCTCGTGGTCCGCGGCCGGATTGTGCGAGCTCCGATCGGAGTGTGTCTTACCGGTGGTTTCTTGTGTAGTGCCGCTGCGATTTCGGAGGGCCGGTAGTCCGGCGGCAAGGAAGGAGGCGGGGCGCGATGAGGTTGGAGAAGTGCTGGTTCTGCTCCTCCACCATCTACCCCGGCCACGGCATCCAGTTCGTCCGCAACGACGCCAAGGTTCGCGCGGTCATCCTGCCTTTTGCTCTTTCTTTCTCATTTTCATGTACAGTATGTTACGTTTTACGGTGGAGAAGCGCGCCCTTCTGTGCTCGGGTTTTCTTGAGGAAGAAATTATCCTTTCTAGGATGCTACAGAATTTGAATACAGCAGTCCCTGAAGGGATTTAGGTACCACGGTTGTACTTGCTTAGACCAATCTGTGTGTGTTTTGTAGTACTTTGCAGCATTTTTTGTTTGCAGTATGTGACCCTCATTGTGTAGTCACACCTCGCATTGCCTGCCCATGTCATTAGCGTTGAAACTAACGCCTAAACTACACAAACCAACAAAGATATATTGGTCTGGAAGGGTTGAAGAATAGAAGCTAGAAAGACAGAAGGAATTTAGAATTTGTAAAACGTTGGGATGAATGTAACAGCTGTGGGCTCAATTTTCAGAAGAACAAGAGTTAGGGCAGAATGCAGATTTATGTAACCCAAAAAATATGATTATCAAACTACAAGATTTGTTGTTACCTAAACACCTCAGTTTTCATTGCCATAGTATTTATAAACAAATATATGGTTATCCAACCCATGGTGGCCCTACTGCATGTGTCACTGGCTCTCTCTCTCTCCATCTCTTTTGCTTTGTTCAGAGTCTCAGAGAGCTAGTTGTCCCATTTCCACCCAATGTATAGAGTAGTCCAATGGTGGTATATACTTCTTCACTTTCTTCCACACCTATGTTTATCCATCCAATTTAACAATGTACTGTGTCATGTTCCTGTCTTTTTTCTTGTTTTTCATAGTACCAATGAATTAACTGGAGTAGTGGACAAAATAATCGTTGTTAAATTTATTACTTTGACACATATGTTTCTCATTCAGTATTTTTCTCCTGCTTTATGGTTTTAATAGTGGTGGATGCTAAAAGCTGAGGTCTGTTGGATAACAACGCTGCTTTCGTCCAAAATAAGCTGCTAGAACATATGAATTTTTTAGACCATATTATAGTAAAAGTAATTACATTAATTATGTCAGTCATCAAAGAGATGTGGGCCGCTAGATTCTCCTGCTGGTTCCATTATATTAATTATTGCACTCCCAAATGGACTGAAATGCTATGTCATTTTTCTCAAATCGGAATCATCACAAAATATCAACTCAAGAGACAAAATATCAACACAAGAGATGATTGAGAGGAGAGGAAGGAGCGAGTGGGAGGCCACCACTGCCCCTCGTCGCCTCGCTGCCGTGGAGGTCCCGAGCTCGGGGCCAGATCCTGAGCCACCGCTCCATCGGGAAGATGCTGCGCCACTGAGGATCCACCGCGCAGCCGCTGTGCCGGGGAGCAGCTGACCCGCCAAGCGGCCAGGGAGCCGTCGACCTGCCATGCCGCCGGGAGCCATCGACCCACCGGATCTGGCGAGGAGCGGGGCGGCGGCACCCTGATGAGAAGGAAAGGGAGCGGTGAGATGCTGGTGGGGGAGCAACTCCCCCTGCCACCTCCCGCCCCCTCTCCCCCACTACCTCTAGTTGTGGCCGCAGCCGCTTCTCGCCCCACCGCAAAGCCGGCAGGTGAAGAAGCTAAGGAGGAAGCCCTCTCGGCCGTCATTGGCCCTAGCGCCGGCGGCAAAGTGACTGGGGAGGATTGGTCGCGGTGGAGCACATCCTCGCCTCTCCCGGCCATGGTGGCTGCCGTCGTTGGCGAGCCTCTCGAGAGGAGGAGGTGCGCATGAACGGAGAGTAGGAGGATGGACGTAGCAGGAAGGGGGAGGGAAGAGCCGGATTGAGGAGGGGGAGGAAGATGCGAGAAAGAGAGAGAACGATGGAGAAAACGAGAATAGGAGAGAAAGAACGACAAAGGGGATCGATATGAGGGATCCCTCGATCTGATCCGATCTGGTGACCTTATCTGGACTTAGTTTTTTACTATGAAAAAACCGACCGGTCTATTTTAAAGAAAAACATGAAAACCGAATAAGTGAACCAACTGGTGAGGCCATAAATTTTGCAAAAGCACCACTCATCTTTTAAATTTTAGAGCGCAGTCCAATTTTTGCAATTTCTTCTCCCCCAAATATACCTATATACCAAATTAAAAAATTTAGGTCCTTATCTATATATATCTCTATCTCTACTACTTAAAAAATTGAAAACGTTTCCGTCATCCGCAATAGCGAGAAAAGGGCAAAAAAAACATGAAAAAAAAGGAAAGTCCGATTCAATCTATCTAAAATTTTCCACCGCACGTGCGATCGATGGCAAAAAATGAGTCTGCATCAAATTCAAGAACACAAGAAAACACTAAGAAAACGCTGACGCCGAAAGGGGAGGGTGCCGCCGAACCGCCACCGCCATTGCAGGGATGTCGGGCCGCCGGCTGCTCCCCTCCCACTGGATCCGGTGGAAGGGGCCGCTGGGACGCTGGGCCGCCACCACCTCCCCTCCTGGATCCGTCGGAGGGGAAAGCGCCGCCCGCCACCGTCGAGCCCTCCCGCGGCCCCATGGCGAGGGAGAGGAGGTGAGGGTGGAGAGGCGCCGCTGCCTGCGGAAGGAGAGCCGCCTCCCCTCCCGTTAGATCCGGCGGAGGTGAGGGAGCTGCCCCTGCCTGCCGTCTCCCTCCCACCGGAAGGGAGGGCGCAGCCCCTACCTGCCGCCTCCATCTCCCGCCGGAAGGGAAGAGGGGGAGATAGAGCGGTGCCGCCGGTGGGGTTGGGAAAGGAGGAGAGGCGGAGGGGGAGAGGCGCCGCCGCCACCGTTGAGAGAGAAGGGGGAGGGGAAATGTTTTTAGGGTTAGGGTTGGGCTGTTGAACTTTTATATAGGTCGGGATCAATCAGGACCGTCCATCAGATCGTATGGCTACAGCTTCTCCCGCGTCGGGCCAAATGCCACTCCCAGGCCGCCACATGGAATAAGTTCACTTTAGGTCCCTTAAGTTGTCCCGATTCTATTCCTAGGCCGCCCACACTATTGGGCCGCCTCATGGACCGCGTTTACGCTCCGTATGAAATAAGTTCACTTTAGGTCCCTTTAGTTGAACTTTTTTTATTTCATTCATTTTGATCTAGAGAAATGAATATTGCTGCCTTATTTCTCGTGTTTCATAGTAGGGGGGCAGAGGGGTAGTTAGGGCTTGAGCCCTATGCCTTGCTCCATAATCCCCATTATAATCTTATGAAAATGCTCTGTAATTTGTGATAATATTTGAGCTCCTGTTAGCTGAACGCATGAAGATTTTCTGGCTCCACCAGTAGCAATGAATTTAAGTGGACATGAACAACCATTGTTAAATTTGATGCCTATGTTTCTCATTCAGTCCTTTTCTCTTATATTTTATGGTTGGAATAGTGATGGATGCCTAAAGCTGGGCCTTTCTGAATATCAACACTGTTCTCTTTCAAAATAAGCCACAAGAACATATGAATTCTTTTACACAATATATAAGTAAAATCAATTAAATTAATTATGTCAGTAACAAACATTTTGTCGGTATGCTGTAACAACATTTTTTTTGTCGGTTATAGGAATGTAACATTTTTTTTCCCTTGCAGATCTTCCCTTGCATTCCTATAACAAGCTGGATTTTGTCGGTATGCTGTAACAACATTTTTTTTCCCTTGCAGATCTTCCGCTTTTGCCGGTCAAAATGCCATAAAAATTTTAAGATGAAGAGGAATCCTCGTAAGGTTAAATGGACAAAAGCATACAGATGCTTGCATGGGAAGGACATGACGCAGGTATTTGCTTGTTCTATTTTCGTTCAGTATTAAGTAGAGAGCACATTTTCTATGCTGTGAACCACTTTCTATGCTGTGAACCACATCTGAATCGTTTGAAATCAGGACTCCACCTTTGAGTTTGAGAGGAAGAGGAACAGACCAGAGCGCTATGACCGGAATGTCACTGCACAAACTCTTAAGGCTATCCCTCTTATTACAAAGATTAGACATGAACGCCATAAAAAACATATTACAGAGAGGTTGGCATCTGTTCTTTTGGCTCAGTCTGTTAATTCTTGAAATTATCTCTTTGCTTAACATATGCACTGAACTTTTAACAGGCAAAAACAGGGTAAGACAAAGCAAAGGGAGAGAGATGCTAAGGAGTTGGAACAGGATATTCAAATGCTCCCGAAGAAGGATACCATGCTGTCAACACAAAAGACAAAGGTCGTGGTCAAAGTTTCTCAGCAGCAGACCGAAGAAAATCTTATGGAAGAGTAATGAAATGGAATCATGTTGCATGCGCTCTCATTTTGTCATCTTTATGCAACACTTGTGTTTCTAATTGTTACTTTGCAAGTTGTATTTGACTGATTACCAGCAAGTTTTGCACGTACTGTGTGCCTGTGTGCTTTGTGACTTCCATCTATATTTGAGCCTTGGGCCTAGTAATGGTGTCTGTGCGGACTTGCGCTAAGCCCAAGGTGGTGTGCACCCTAGGGCTAACCCTAGGATATCTCTAATCATATTTATTTTATTTAGTAGCCATTATTGTTTAGAGTTGGATTTTGCTTAGATTATTATGCCAAATATAATTTCGCAGCTAATTCGATTTGTAGAACTCCAACTTCAAGTGCCTAATCATTTATTTGCAATTGAGGTGTCATGTACCATGGTGCTGCAATCGCTGGATTGTGTGTGTAAGTGTTTGCCAAATCGATTTTTATCCCCACCTAATGGAAGATCGGGTAGCCCGTTGTCATCAATAATCTAAGAACTCAACCTTTTTTTATCAGATCTAGAGGAATTCCTTCACATCTATTCTACCATCCTCTATGCAGCTGGCGCAACGACAACGTTTTGGTAAACTACCTATCCACTACATTGAAAGGCCCTGCCTGCTCATGGCTCATGCATCTTCCCAAATCTTCGATTGGATCATGGGCAAAGCTCTATCAATTCGTGGCCAATTTTGCCAATTTCACCAATTTCCAGGGCACATACAAGAGGCATCCAAATCGAGGATGACCACCATGCAACAAGACAGAGAAACGGTGAACCCCTTATAGCAAGTTCAATAGTATAGCCTGGCTCCAAATCATCTATAGCCAATCTAATAGCCCATTCATACAATAGTTACCTATAAAAATATACGACATCATTAATATCCGGTCCTATCTCTCATACACTCATAACGTATTGCAGCCGGCTACAAATCTGTAGCCCGCTTTCTTCTCTCTTTTCTCTTTTCTTCTCGATACGTGGTTATAGCTGGCTTATAGCCTGCTATTGTACCTGCTCTTAGGGACTTCATACAACGCTTTAATGAGTGCCATAGCACTATTCCCAAAATCACCAAAGCCTTCATCAACACGGAAGAGTTATCATCACTCAAATATGGAGTCCAAGATCGTTATACCATCCAAGAGAACATGGAAGAAAACTTCAGCAATGAAGTTGTTCAAAATCACTGATAACTCATGCAGACGAGGTTGACTAACAAAACTAAAAGGAAGATGTCTGACGAGAAGTTACTCGCCAAGAAAGAAGAATCTGGAACTAGAAAGACGCTAGAACAATCCAGAAAGCGGAACAAATAGCACAAGCCAAAAGGAGAGGTCCTCGTTGTACAGCGAGAACCACAATATTTTCTAACTCCGCGAGATCCTGGTTCCTGAACTCCATGTGTTCCTGTGAGAAAGAGTGGAAATATCTCTATGCATTCTTTAAATGATTCAGCCTTTAACCACATGGCAAGACGAACTTTTGATCATCAATTTGGGGGCAAAATTTGGAACGGAATCATTTCTTAACACTACTTAATAAAGAATATGAGAACATCCAAGTCTCTCTACACTGGTGATGAAAGAAGAATACAGGTTCAAGAGAAGATTCTACACAGACTGAAGCATGTTGGCACCATGCTTGCATCAATTCACCCCCTGTCAATCCTGGCCTTGACCAACCCAGAAGCTCAGCCACTTCACCTTTGGTCCAGAGCACCAAAATTTTTATGAGATTATATGATCCTTCTACCTCATCTTAACAAGGAAGATGGGCATATCTCTGCTTACCAAAGTTGTGTCTTCTCCCTGATCATGTTTGAAATGGGCTGCCAACCCATCAGCCATGGCTTCCTACTTGCAGGGACTGCAAAATTGAGCTCAAACATCTCCTTGCTGATGTTACCACCCTCACAGAAACCAACCAGCCTGGCCACTATATCGGCGCTCTCATCAATGTGAGCTTGGTCATTGGGGTCTGTCCAGAGCCTGTTCACAAGCTGGAGCTTCCGCTGCTTCGCCTCCAGGGGCACCTGCCATTTGATGAAGAGGCGCTCTCGCTCTTCTTCTGTCAGCCTTGAGCCCATCCTTCTCGCGAGGAATTCTCGCTCATTCCTCAATGCCTTGATACTGCAACATGAAATCAGATAATTGGTTTATATATCACGATTCGATATCAGTTATGACTAATGAAACATTTGACTCGGAAAAACATTCATGTTAAGGCTTTTCTATCAGATAACTAAGCTCCATCTTCACTATCAACATATAAGGTTTCTCAGTAAGTGTTCTTTTACAGAGGATAAAACTACTGTGAGAAAACAGATTACAAGGTTTTGCTTCCAGCAACATCCATTTTAAAGGCCTAGGGGACATGACTCTTTTTTAGACCTTCCAACACTATTTTCTTTTTCTGGAATTAACTAACATAGCCCGTAAAACTCAAAGAAGTAAAGGCTAATATTTACCTTGAGGCTAAAGAAATTGTGGAGTCATCACCAGCTGCAGGACTTGCATCGCCCACCTCAGCAAAATGCTGTTGCAACCATGTCAGTCTTCTAACTTCGACTTCAATATATATCTGATCAGCCCTATCCCCCCTGAATAATAAGTAGAACTGGGTCCTGTGTATGATTGATACATGACAGAGATCCCACAGTTGGATAATGTGCTGCATCTGCTCCTTAAATAATCTGTCCCATGAATCAGGACCATCCTGTAGAGATCCTGCATTTTCCTCTGAATCTTCTTCCATGTCATTTGTCTTGCCTTCATTCGATTCCAACTCCAAGACCTGTAGTAAGATTACAAGAAAACATATTTTAGTGGTGAAACAAAGTAACCTTTGCATGAACAAAACTTATGTGTGCAAGATAAACGATCATAACCTGACAGACAAGCAGCTGCTTTTGGTATTGAAGTTTTGCAACTCTCTCCTTCAGTTCAGTGACATAAGCCCGGATATTTCTAACATTCTCCTCAGCAGCATTTTGGAACATCTTCTGCATCTTTTTCATGTTCACTGAGCTGGATCGCCTATAGCGTGGGGTTTCATCACGCGATGATACATCTCCAGTGTCTTCACTCTTAGTAGGAGTAGCCCTTTCTGAACCTTCATGAGACACAGTGTCACCCTCTGGAGCCCTATTCTCAACTTCTGGCTCTAAAGGCCTACTAGAAGAGAGGGGAGAGCATGGTGCTCTTATCAGATTTGGTCTGTTTATGTTGCTCACGCCCAGTGGAAGAAGCATCCTCTTCTTCTTCTTTGCTCTGTTGGACTTTGGTGTAGTCTCGTTACATTGTGTGCCAACATTTGGAAGTGACATCACCAATCTATCAATAGACCTCTGTACATTTTCTAGTTTAGCCTCAAGTTTTGCAATATCATTGTCTTGCATATGAAGTCTACTAATTTCTTCTTTCAAATCAGATCCATTTCCTTCATCTGTGATCATGTCAACATCTCTGTCAGATCTGACAGATTGCATCCCCCTGATTTCAGCCTGTAGTTTAGCAATAGTTTCTGCTGCATCTTGATTGCCATGTTTATGGCATTCGACTTCTTTGTGCAGTACTTCAATAGCTCGGTTAGCCTCAACCTCAAGCTGCTGTTGTAGCTGCTCAAGCTTGCGAATTTCATGCTTTAACATAAATGGAGCAGTGGCTGATTGTCTAATCGAGCTCCGTATCTTCATTTTGTTACTTGGCTGTAGTGATCCAGAATATGTGAGGCATTTCCGTGTCCTTTGTGGTGAGTCAAAAGGATTCCATCCCTAAAAGAAAACATGGGTTTCGGAAAGATTAGGTTGACAGTAAATGAATGTGGTTCTGACTGGCTGATATCCTTTGAAAGAAAAGTAAATTTGCAAGGAAAGGGCAAATACTCACTGGCTGATTATCACCCATCTTCTTCTGTAATTCTTCAAGTTTCAACTGTGCATTGTCTCTTTGCTTCTTGAGTTCCTCCATTTCTTTTTCCATCTGCAGTGTTCACTTAATTAGGTCAGTTACAAAATGGAAATGATTCCAGTGAACTTCATCCTTGAGCATAGACATTACCTGTCTAATCTTCCTGTCCCTTTCCATTATAATGATCTCAGAAGAGGAGGCACGATCAGGGGTTCTCAGCTCAGCTTCGAGTCTAGCAACTTCCATCTGTAGGTGCTTCACCAATTGCTTATCTGATACCACCTGTACGTACCAAGGCCCAAGGGATGAAGATTTGCATTCTCATAAGTAAATAAATGATGCATCACAGTCACAGATCTTACCATATTAACTTTTGCATTATTCGTAACCTCCTTGGCACAGGTTGCAAAGAATAGAGTATTTCTAGATTGTTCTACATGTGTTTGCGCTGGACTCATGGTACAGATGATGGCTGTTCTTGCATTTCCACCCAAAGAAAGCTGGAGAATGCGTGTCAACTTCGAGTCTCGATAGGGTATGTGTCCACTTCTTTTATCCGAGCTGCATTGAAAATTTAGAGTCAGTCTGCTAATATTCCCAATAAAGATATACTTCATTATAGTTTCCTGTTCAAACCAAGAAACGGTAAAAATACAAATATGCAGTAAATTATCTAAGTAGAAAAGAGGTCTCAAACTGTGTATTAGCATGACACTGCAAATAAATTATCTAGTTTAACGTGTTCATGACACTGCAAATAAATTGTCTAGTTTAACATGTTCATGACACTGCAAATACACAATGCTGCTTATTAGTCCTGCCATACCAATGTCACTTAGCCAACACATTCAAGAACTTACAATTAACTGTGTTGCAGCTATGAGATTTTAATAAAACTCACTTTAGTTCTAAATATGCAGAATGATTAAACAGTATAGTGGCAATAGGACAGAGTACAGAGCAATTGCCTCCCACTTAAACAAAGTGGCCTGGGAATATTTTGATCTGATGAATCTCATTAGCATGTTTTAGAAATTCATTAGGAGATAAGATACATCATTAACATACTGATATCATTACAAATCAACAGATAACATTAGAACTGAGACTAACCCATGAGTGCATCGAGGTAACTCAGCGACTACTTTCAAGATTGGTGCAGATAAGAGATAATAGACCCAGAGTTTTTTCTTTCTTTCTTTAGAAAATCATACCTTAGCTTTCTGATGACAGTAGTAAGAGTCAGTAAGCTGCGATTTATATGGCAGCCTTCTTTCAGTCTTGCGCCAACTGCATGTGTTTGTGCAGCTCGTTCACTTCCAGCAAGATCAACAAAATTCTGTGAAAAAGCAACACATATTATTGA